CACAGAACCTGTTGAAGCATGTAATTCATTTCCTATTATTTTAGTACGTCCGTTTCTTGCAACTTCTAACGCATTGATTAATTATAGGAATGGACTGATGAAGCTATCATTTGGAAACATGACATTAGAGATGAATATTTTCAACATTTGCAAACAACCTGGAGAAGATAATGATTTACAAAAAGTAGATCATATTGATGAATTAGTTTATAATAAACTTGAATCTACTTTACGTAAAAATGAGTTGGATGAATTTGAAGATTTGCAAATGATTTATTCTGAGGAAGAAATCACGGATGAAAAAAGCACCGAAAATATTGATGTGAATCTTTTGTCAACAATGATAACAAATTCGATATCTAATATCACATCAATCGATGATTACTTTCCTAACGAATCCTTACTTTCTCTTAGTCCAATGCCTTGGTATGATAAAAATATCAATTTTCTTGCTTTAGGAGATTTGCCAGCTGATTGGAGTACCTAAGATAAAGAAAAGTTTTTGAATGAAGTGAAGAACTTTTATTGTGATGACCCTAACTTATTCAAATATTATCCTGATTAAATATTTCAAAGATTCATTCCCGATAATGAGGTAAGTAGTGTCATTAAACTTTGTCATTCTGAAGCATGTGGAAGTTATTTCTCATCAAAAAAGACAGCTATAAAAATCTTTCAAAATGGATTTTTTTGGCCCACCATGTTCAAGGACACACATGCATTCTGTAAAACTTATGAAAATTGTTAAAAAGTTGACACTGGTAAAAAAGTTTTGTTTTATAATTCTCAACTCTATTCATTCCCTAGAGAGCTAAGATCAAGATGGAGCAATCCTTATGGGGCCTGTGATATTGAGAATTCAATGAATGACAATGTTTTTATGGAAAATGGACATCGTTTGAAAGCTTACTTTGATAATTTTCCTAGTGAAAATGAATCAACTGGTTTGAATGATCTTGTAGATAAAGGTTGATTATTTTGTTTTTCTTACATTGTTTTTGTGTTTCTTTTTGAGTGATTTTTTCTAGTTTCTTTCACCCCGGTCAAATGGCAGACAATGGTACTCCGTGACTTAAGTCGGTTCTTTTAGTTTCCCACAATAACTAATATCTATGTATATATTTGTGCAATTCTTTGAATCTCTCTTCCAATTCTCATTTGAAAATGGACACTAATCTTGAAAAATTGAAAAAGTATTTTCCCGCTCTGCCTTAAAATGTGATTAAAAAAATTGAAAAAGTATTTTCCCGCTCTGCCTCAGAATGCGATTACAAAAATTTACCGTGCTAGATGTGCAAGATTGAGATTGTTAATGAATCATGGAATTCCTGAAGATATTCGCTGGTTGATTGAAGCAAAGGTCCGATTATCAGGTGAGTCCTCTAACTTCTTCATTTCACACATGCCTAGAACAGGTAAAAGCACTTTTGCAAAGAAACGTCGTGCAAAACGACTGAAAGTCTGTCATCAATATGCTAGATGGACTTGTAATACACAATGTCGTTCTTTAGGAATGATATCTATAAACCTTGAAGATAAAATACAATTTATTAAGGATGGCTTGAGTAAGGAGTCTTTAGATAATCTTCTATTGACTCTTGAGACGCATCCTAATGGAGATGTGCATCATGTAATTCATGATTTATGACTATTATTTCATGAAGAACATGATCGACTTAGTCTTGGGAATCTGACTAAAAAAGACCTTGTTTGCCAGTTTTTAAGAAAACTGGATGAGAAGCCTATCCCCGACCCATAGAGGGCGTTTAAGCCGTTCTTGGATGTAAAACCAAGAGAAGATGTGAGCCACAATCACAACTACTTGTACATACACATGCTTTTTTAAAAGTAAACAAATAAGTAAATAAAGAGAGAGAGAGAGAGAGAGAGTGTGTGTGAGACTCTAGCTGGCCTACATATAGGTGGTATGATTGCCTTTGTAATTTCTCATCTATAAAATCCTCTCTTCCTTCCTTTCATTTCTACTCAACCCATACATTCAACAAATATAGAAGTGTGTAGAAATGGCAAGTTCCTCAGGTCATCATATAAGAAATATTTGTGTTTTCGGTGGATCTAGTCCTGGGAAAGAAAAGGAGTTTTTAGAATCAGCAAATCATCTTGGTCAGGTTCTAGCTGAGAGAAAGATTCATTTAGTGTATGGGGGAGGGAGTCTTGGGTTAATGAGAGGTGTGTCAATAGCTGTATTTTTAGGAGGTGTCAATATCTGGAGTTCTAGAAGTCGAAATGAGCTGAATTTTTTACACAAGAAAGCTGAGACAATTTCCTACAACTTTGCCATGCATTTAGGCATCTTGGTCTCTAGAGCAAGATCATGCTTTTTCTTTCTTTCTTTGTATTTTTTGTAATGTTTATGCTTTGCTTTCATTAATATTAAGTTTATGCCTTTCATTTCCTTTCCTTTACTTAGTTAACTCTTATCTTGTTTATGTTCTTATTTTGTTTATTTATTTTTCTTTCTTTCATTATGTCTAGCTAAGTCTATTATGTCAAGGTGAAAAGGTTATACTAATGGTGTAAGAATAAGTATAGTGTAAACTTAATATGGACTTTAATGTTTGATACTAACATGTTTTGTATTTGTTATCTTGTTCACTCTTTAATATTTTGCTTGTTAAATGACTAATCTTGATTTATGTTGTATAACACTTGGTACAACAAATGCTTGGCACTTTTATAGCCCATATTGTATGGTATAACCGACACTTGAGCTATGAAAGAAACTTGATTTGTTGTTAACATAAGTTATAATCATGAATGCTTGATGAAATTTACAAGTATTAGCATTAATTGAATAAGATGACTAATGTAATCATGTTAACAATTTATAATCTGATTGGAACCTCCTTTGTATGTGGTTTCCAATTGACTAATAAGAGTTTATACTATACTTGTTTGACATACCATTAGTGGATCCTCTAACCTTGACATTTATTGTTATCGTTGTTAAATCTTTACGTTAATATTCTATCTCAAAGTTCTCATCTTCTTCTTCTTCTTCTTTACTATTACTACTACTACTACTACTATTATTATTATTATTATTATTATTACTATTATTATTGTTGTTATTGTTATTGTTATTGTTATTGTTATTGTATTATTATTTATAATTTGTACAATTAACCTCCTTGTGGTTCGACGCCGGTCTTACCGGGTTATTTATTACTTCAACACTCCTACACTTGGGAGAAGACATCAATCTTTTAGTCGTGTCATATGTCAACGTGAAAATATTTCACTAATGATGTTAAAATAAGTATAATATAAACTCAACATCGACTTCAATGTTTATATCCAAGAAAGTTTGTTATTAACATCTCTTATCTTTTTATCTTACTAATTCTTAATACCTTACTTGTTAAATAGTTAATCTAGATTTGTGTTGTATAACACTTGGCACAACAAATGTTTGACACTTTCATAACCAACCGTATGATATAATCTATACCTATGTTATGAAAAAAACTTGATTTGTTGTTAATATAAGTTAGTATCATGAATTCCTAATAATATTTAAAAGTTTGGTGTTACTTAAATAAGATAATTAACATGATCATGTTAAAAATTTATAATAAATTATTAAGGATAAATCATCCGATTGAACCTCTTTTGGGTTAGGTTTCCAGTTGAATAATAATAAAAATTTATACTATACTTGTTTGAAATACTATTAGTGGATCCTTTAAGCTTGTTATTTGTTTTTATTATTATTTAATTCTTACATTAATCTTATATCTCAAAGTTTTTTTAACTTCTTCTTTTTCTTATTATTATATAATTAATTTTCTATGATTCAATGCTAATTTTATCAAATTATTTATTATTTTGATATTTTTAATTTAAAAAAATATTAATTTTTTTGATAGCATTATTTACACGAGTGATGCGTTTTTATATTGTTCAGGGAGGAACTATTCTCCATTAATGTGTAAACTGATACACTACTATCCTAATAATTTTACAGCAGTTTTGCCTTTCAGGATTTCACTGTACCATCCAGAATGCGACAGCTAATTTTCTTCCACTGAGTTAAAATCTAAGATATCATTTTCCTCGATACTGTATTACACAGAAACTGACTCAATGATATCTGACAATACAAGAGAGAGAGAGAGAGAGAGAGAGAGAGATCAGCATGTCACCTTCGTAAATTTGTTAGGAGATCTTTGAGATATCCTTCTCCTTAATTGCCTTCCAGACCAATCCACACCAAAAACCTATTTGTTTGTCCCAAAAACCTTAAATTCCCTTTCTCCTTTCGTGAGACTTTAAGAAAATAAAAAGACACAATTAGAAGAAAGAAATCCTGTATATTTTTTAGATGGGCTAAGAATTTTATATTCTCTTTATATATATATATATTTGTGTTTATCTTTAAAATACATCTAACTAATAAAATACCATTAATTATATATTTTTTAAATATTATAAGGTAAGAAAAGAGCTAGTACTTGTCAAAAAAAATAAAAAGGTGGTTAAAGAGCTAGTACTTGTCAAATGCACCGTGTTTCTGACTCTTTCATTTTATTTTGTTGTAAATGCAATCAATTCATTGATGGAAATGTTGAAAACAAGATGAAATAATCGAACCTCATAAATGAAAGAGAATACCAAGCCAAACATATTTTTCTTGCAGGAAGTTCACAACCAGCAAAACCATTCCCTTAAAAAGAAGTCATCATCACCGCATTTAGTCTACATCCATCTCAAATGAATAACAATATCACATCAACATCGGCTGCAATTCCATGAAATTAAATCCCATACCAACTCAACTCTCGAAAATTATTTGATAAGTTGCGTTTAGTATAGTATAGTAACACAGTATAAGTAGTGTTTTTTTAAATTTTGATTTTTTTTTTATGTTTTTAAATTATTTTAATATGTTATGTTAAAAATAATTTTTTTAATATACTTTTAAATAAATATCATTTTAAATTATTATCACCGGTATAATCTCAAACACATTTTGAATGCAAAATCATCAATAGGGTGGCAGGATGAGAGTACACCGACAAAATCCATCAGCATTGCCATTGTCACACCAATCATCTTGTCAAGGGGTTAGGGATGCCATGAACCACATCAAGAAAGCTATCTCCATAGCTCGTGCCAATAAAATGTAATATGGTACAATTGATGGGTCATCCTACTTAATTTTATGCAATTCTGCTAGCCCTACAAGGCTAATCCCAAAGACTAAACACTCAAGGACATTGATCTCTCTTCCACTTGAGCTAGCCACATTCTTCAAAATCAAGCTGCACCAATTGGTTCGACATACAATTTCCTTATCTGCTAAAATTTAAGGTCAATAGATGCACTGAACTGGAAAATCATTGGTTTAATCACGTCTCTTTAATATATGGTTTCTAAGCAATCAGCACATTCAATTATACTCTTCAATTCTTGTGCTGCCTGTAGCTTTGGATGGAAATTTATCTCTGCAGATTAGCATTAGCTAGCTAACTATTTTATCCATTTGATATAGATAGCATGTTACCAATTCACAGTTCCAGCCTCGATCAGACTGTGGGCGGGTGCTTTTCTTAATCCTATGTCATCCATCCTTTGTCTCACATTTTCCGCATCTTCCCACCTTCCCAGTGCAGCATAAAGTTTGGCCAGCAGCACATAATTTCCTGTGTTATCTGGCTCGAGCTCAAAAAGCCATCTTGCTGCAACCTCTCCCAATTCAACATTTTCATGCATCACACAAGCACCAAGCAATGCACCCCAAACAGCATGGCCTGGCATAAATGGCATTGTCTTTATCAGATCATAAGCTTCATCCATTCGACCAGCACGACCAAGCAAATCAACCATGCATGTGTAATGATCATCATTGGGGATTGTTTGGTGATCCTTGAGCATGAATTTGAACAAATACAAGCCATCATCCACCATGCCAGCATGGCTGCAAGATTGCAATACTGAAGTAAAAGTAACATCATTTGGCTTCACCCCAGACTGAACCATTTGTTTGAAAAGTGAAACAGCAGTCTCACCATGTCCATGCATTCCATAACCAGCTATAATTATACTCCACACAAAAACGTCCTGGACATCTACAGGGATGGTATTAAAAATCTTGTGAGCAGATTCTAAACTTCCACACTTGGAATATATATCAATCAGAGATGTGGCAACTTGAATATTTGAAACAAACCCAGACCTCATTAGATAACTGTTTATATTGTTTACAGGCTGCAGATCAGCAAGAATGCCATATGCAGGAAGGAGACTATTGCATGTTGCAGCATTTATTTCCACTCCTTCCATTAGCATTTTCTTGAAAAGTCCTATTGCTTCGGTTGCAAGTTTATTATGAACACAACCAGAGAGCATTGCATTCCATGGAACTGTTTTCTTTCTTGAAGTTCTAGTAAAGACTGAGAAACTTAGACCAAGACAATTACATTTTGCATACATGTCAATCAATGAAGTCTCTACAGCAACTTCTGAATAAAGCCTTTGCTTCATCACCCAACCATGCAAGCAACGACCATCCTTCAAATTATTCAAACTAGCACAAGCCAAAAGAATCAAGGCTATAGTCACTGGATTGGGTCGTAACCCTTCAATCTGCATAATCTTAAAAAGTGATAATGCACTTTTTGCATCACCATTCAAAATGTACCCATTAATCATTGAAGTCCAACTCACTACATCCCTTTCAAGCATGTTATCAAAAACCAATCTCGCCTCATCCATACTACCACACTTAGCATACATATCCACCAATGCATTGCTCACTATCTTTTTACCTAAAACCTTCTCTTCCACTAATCCATGAACCCTTCTCCCCACTTCCAATTCCTTCAAATACCCGCAAGCTGGCAACACGGAAACCACACTAGCACCATCAATCTCAACCCCAGAATCCACCATATGGTTAAAAACCAACAAAGCAGTATTTGCAAACCCATTCTTGAAATACCCATTTATCATAGTATTCCAAGAAACCACACTCTTCTCTTTCATTGCATCAAAAACCTTTCTTGCCTCCTCCACCTCCCCACAATTCATATACATTGCCAATAAAGAATTCAGCACGAACAAGTGTGAACCAAACTTTGACACTAATGTCAGGCCATGAAGCACTCTACCATATTCAACCAATACCAATTCACTACAGGCTTTAATAACAAACGGGTATGTATAATTATCCGGGCAGCAATCTTTTGATCCAAGCATTTGAAGAAACACCTTCATCGCTTCAAAATAATCCCCCTTAGCTACATACATTTTAATCATGAAATTATATAAGAGCGTACCTCGTTGAGGCAATTCATCGAACAGTTTGCGTGCATTATGTACGTACCCACAATGCGCATAAGTTGCGACAAGGACTGACCAGATATCGATGGAGAGAAGGCCAGAGGTAATGAGGTGGGCATGGAGTTGTTTTGTTCTGGTGAGGGATTGAACGGCTCCATAGTGTTTTAAGAGAGACTGGTATTGGGTCGTTTTAGGGGAGAGCAAGAGCTTGGTTGTTTTGGATATAGTAGTCTTTGTTGGGCCATTCATGAATTTCTATGGCTACTTCAGCTGTTGGGGGTTTTGACAGGGAAATTAGGCAAATGTAAAAGGTAACCTGCCGATTATGGGTTGACGTTAGGATGGCAATGGACCGGGTTCGAGTGATTTTTATCATGCATCTGTATTTAATTTGCTAAATATATAACAGGGGTGTTGAAAAACCTAGCTAATATTTATATTATCCCATCCGATTCAATCCGTAAATAAAAAATAATATAAATAATGATAAATAAAAAATAAAAAAATAAATATCACAAATTTGATGGTGAGCAACTTCAGAATCTAGGCCAATGTAGGATAATTTTTAAAATAAGTTTTTATTTAGTTTTACCATAAAAAATAGATAATTATGAGAAAGGTAACTATTTCATTTAAAAAAATATATATATCTCATTAGATGAATTTTTACTTTTTTTTATTAATGTATTTTTTTATTTTTTCAAAAATATATATCATTTTTATCAACTACATTTTTTTGATAAAACTTAAAGGTTATTAAAGTAAATATTTATAAAAATATCATAAATTAAATTAATGAAGGAAAAATGTATATCTTTTAATATCCTTATTCATTTTTTTTTTGACAAAAACATGTTTTTTTTTATAAGAATCGGTACTTTCTAATTAGAGACTTATCATAATATGAAAAACTAGGTTAAATAAAAAATAAAAAAAATCTTGACCAAATAATTTGTACATGATAAAAGAAAAAAAATCATGTAAAAAATCATAATAAAAAATATAAATTAATAAAAATCTTATTTTTAATTAATATTAATGTGCATATATAATAATTATATAAATTATTATAAACAAATATAATCTTATTATGATGAATCTGTATAATATTTTAAATATAATTTTATTTATTTTATTTATTTTCAATCTATTCAAAATAAAAATGAAAAAAAATTTAAAAGGATAATACAGAAAAGCTTAGTGTTGGGCCTAAAAAGATTGATTCGCATGGCTAACCTCCTTAGAAATGAGAGTTGCACAGGCCAAGTTGTCATATCACTGTATGTTAGGTTGATCTTAGTGATCATGAAAGTTTATTAGAGAGTTTCGCAGTTGGGATAACCATATTTTTCCTTTATCCCAAATAGTTATGGCTTGCTATCATATTTGTTTATACTATTCATCATCTTTTTAGAGATGATATTCAATATGCTGCCATCGTCTACCAGAACCTTATGTACTCTTGTTGGAGAGGATGATAGTGATCACTAGTGCATCCTCATGGGAAAAAGCTACCCCTTCTTCTCCATTTTCTAGAGTGAATACAATTGACTCATACCATAAGTTCAAGGTAAAAGAGATAACTAGAACATACTTCTCGTATGTCATTATTTATTGGTAAGGAATCTCCTTTGACTAACAACTTGGCCAATATCTCATTGATTTCATGTGGTACAATGTTGTGTGCTCCTATCTCCTTCATCTATGTTCAATATTAAAGCCTTTCTTTTACGAACAATGAGGGATAATCTTTACTAATGAGCCTTTCCATTTCCTTTGTTAAGGTAAAGGTAATGCCCTAATATATATATATATATATATATATGGATTATATAATACCCTTTTTTTAACCGTGACTTTAAAGATTTTCTCTTGTAGAATTTAGATTTAGCTATGCTTTCTATAGATGGAAAGCTAAGATATAGGCCTAAAACTTTCATGGGAATCTAAGATTCAAAAAGTTCGTTTTCAAATTCAAATTGTAACAATAACGAAGAAGTCAAAATTTATTCTATAGTCTAGACACTATTTAGTGTTTAGCCCATATCTCGAGTTCTAGAAGTCTAAATGACCTCATTTATATTTTGATGGAAAGCTGAGATGATTTTCTAAAACTTTCATGAAGACAATCTATTCAAATTCTGATGTTAGCAATAACATTTTTAGTATACAAGAAGATAAGGATTATCACAAAGTTAAGAGGTGGTCACCCACTCAATAATTAGTCATCAAATCAATAGTTTCAAATTTTAGCCTATAAAAGGAGGCATTTGCAATGTATTTAGGCATCTTGATTTTCAAATCAAAATCATGTTCTTGCTTCTTTCTTTATATTTTTGTAATGCTTAAGTTTGACTTTTATTAATCTCTTGTTTATGCTTTTCATTCCCTTTACTTAATTAACTTATATCTTATTTATGCTCTTGTCTTATTTATTTATATTTCTCTTTTTCATTATGTTTAGCTAAGTTTATTATGTTAATGTGAAAAGGTTTCACTAATAGTGTTAGAATAAGTATAATATAAACTCAATATGGACTTTAATGCTTATATCCTAAACAACTTTCTATTAACATGTCTTATCTTTTTATCTTACTAATTCTTAATACGTTGCTTGATAAATGATTAATCTAGATTTGTGTTGTATAATACTTGTTACAACAAATGCTTTGCACTTTCATAGCCTACCGTATGGTATATAACCTACACCAGTGCTATAGAAGAAACTTGATTTGTTGTTAATATAAGTTAGCATCATAAATTCTTGACAATATTTAAAAGTTTGGTGTTACTTAAATAAGATAATATGATCATGTTAAAAATTTATAATGAATTATTAATGACAAATCATCTGATTGGAATCTCCTTTGTATGTGGTTTCCAGATGAGTAATAAGAAAAAGTTTATATTATATTTATTTGAAATACCATTAGTGGATCTTATAACCTTGACAATTATTTTTATCATTATTTAATTATCACATTAATCTTAC